GAGAATATCAAAAAGGCTGAAGACGCGATCGAAAAGCTCAACAAGGCCCCTGCTTCTGCAGCCAATGAGACCAAGACCGAGGGTGAGGTAGTGGCGGCCTAGATAATCTGTTAGTCTGTAAGTGGAAAGGTGTAAAAGGGTAATCTAAATTAGGTATACTCTTGGAGGTAATCTAGAGTAGGGTGTAATGTCTGTCACGCTTATTCATGCACGATATATATATAAATCTTGCTTTTATTCTGCAGGATAATTTACAGATAGTTAAGACCTGGAATCTACCAGATGAGAATACAGAGGGGTATTGGCTACATTATACGGCTCTTGCTCGTATGGATAAATATATGGTGAATAGGCGGTTTACCAACGAGAGACTTCCTCGATCACACACATGAATTGTCCACCTGGGCAGTTGCCGAGTTCGGGCAGTGTCTGCATCCGTCTTGAAGAGGGCATGGACATGCCCCAAGCAGGTTCAGATGGGCTGGGCTCAAATTCCTTGGCGAGACGATGGCGATCGTTCCATGCGCGTGTGCCCAGCAGGAAAGCTGCAAGATATGAGTATATGCTCTCGACTAAATGTGAATAGGGCACTTACCGAACCAGAAGAGCCCAAAGATGCCGATGAGGACGACTTCCTCCTGAGTTTGGTTCATGATACGAGAGTGAGATCCTTTTCGGTGATGTGCGATGATACTAGATGCACATGTGGTTAGAGAGGATTAAGGATCTTCGAGTAGACGTACAAGAGTGTCACAGCTGTCAGAGCGATGAATGCGACCACCATCTCGCACATCACGAGAGAGACTAGACAACTGTTAGGTATTTGATAGCAAAGAGATGTATCTGGACATACAGGCTGTTCGAGGGACGAATTTGAGGATAGTGTGTCCAAGCAGAACGACAATGAAGGCTAGAGGGAAGAGACGATGGGTGATTAGCTCCACTGCTTATATAGGCAGCCACGCCGAATACACACCCATGACAGCCGATCTCTGAGGACGACGGCGGAATAGGGGCTTGGGAGCCATCGCAATACGAAAAGTCTATAGGGATTCTGCGGCGCTGGTCAAAAGGGTCTTTGGCGAGGGGCAAGAGACTGGATCTCCGGTGGATGAGTGATGGAGAGGAGGAGCAGCCGCGGAATCCAGTGATTATAACGACTTTTTCCTAGAGCATCGTGGAGGCTCGTGGCGCAGGAGAGGCATCCAGCCACCCAGCGCGTGGCCCGATAGCATGCGCAGATTCATCGCTCCATCCTCTCGTCATGCAGAGCAGACTGCCTATGTATCCTGTTCGCTGTTGATCTTGGCTGTATGTGTCGAGGGACGAAGCCACGATGGGCCGTTTGGAATACAATTCATTCAGCCAGTAGGAGACCAAGCTTGACTCATGCCACCCAAGACCTGCCAGTTTTGCGAAAAGGCTCGTGCCATCATACGCAGGCCAAAAACGGGGGATCACGTCTGCAAAGAATGCTTCTTTAATGTCTTTGAGACAGAAGTACACAATACGATCCAGTATGCTCAGCTGTTCAAGCCCGGTGATCGTGTGGCTATTGGCGCGTCTGGTGGAAAAGGCAAGCACGAGCGTATTCAAGCGTAAAAGTATACTCATGGACTATAGACTCCACTGTCCTTGCTCATGTTATGAAAACTCTGAATGAGCGATACCAATACGGCCTCGAATTATTTCTGCTATCTATCGACGAAGGCATCACCGGATATCGAGACGATTCACTAGAGGTAATGAAGTCACGTCATGGAAGAATCCTTTCCTCATTTCTTGTAGACGGTCAAACGAAATCAGCAACAATACAATCTTCCGCTAAAGATTCTAAGTTATCACGAACTCTACGGATGGACAATGGACGCTATAGTGGAAAAGGTGGGACGTAAGAACAACTGTAAGCTTCGTTCCATGTAGAAAGAAGAACTGTCTTAATGGTCGCACAGGCACATTTTGTGGGGTATTTAGGAGGCAGGCATTGGACCGTGGAGCGGCTCACCTCAATGTCGACCACATAGTCACAGGACATAACGCGGATGACATTGCAGAGACGGTACTCATGAACAGTGAGTCATTCCATTTAGTCTCTGGTCACAAGTTAACGTGCGGCAGTCATGCGTGGAGACATTGCACGACTTGGACGGTGTACACAGATAAGTACACAGGGTGAAGATACAATACGACGCTCTAAGCCTCTGAAGTATGCTTATGAAAAGGAGATTGTCATGTGAGTGTGTATTACTCGTGATCACATTCGGCTAAGTCAAGTCAAGGTACGCCTACTTTAAGAAACTGGACTACTTCTCCACCGAGTGCATCTACTCGCCGGATGCATATCGTGGGCATGCAAGAGCTTTCCTTAAAAACCTCGAAGTTGCCAGACCCAGCGTGATCATCGATATCATACATTCCGGAGAAGCGTTTGAAGTCGCACAAGAGGTGGCTATCAAGCCTCAGAGAACATGCGCACGCTGTGGCTATATCTCTAGCAACGAACTCTGTAAAGCTTGTCACTTGCTTGAAGGTCTCGAAAGAGGTATTCCCATGTTGGGTGTGGTGAGTGCAAGTGCATACTTCCAGACCATTCATTAACCATACTACAGCGTGATGGGAAGAAGACAAAGACAGAGAGGATAGAGATCGAGGTCACAGACACCATCAGAACAATTCCCAAGTTTGAACTACCACAGGTGATGCGGGACAAGGAGCCAAATGGCGCGTTAGGGACGAGTGTGGCATGAGTGGTTGGTATGATGATTTTGTCATGTAATGTATCTTCAATATTACTCGAGTGATTCTAATCGACATCATGTCAAAATTGATGAAATGGAACGCTTTCCCGCTTTTGAGAAATTTAAATGTATGATATTAAAACTAGGGCCACTCCACCCTGTCATGGTCTCGTGGTGCAACGGTAGCATATCACACTTCTAAATTCGGCGTTTTTGGTCATGTGAGGGTTGCGGGTTCGAGTCCCGCCGGGACCTTTTGCTGGGCTCAAAAAAACTACCCCTATTTTATTACCGTTCTCAAGTAAACAAGTTCGTTTTGGCTCACTAGTGCTGCATTGATACAAATTAGTTGGTCTTTTGCAGGACTTGTGCCCATTGTTTACGTAATGCACTGGTTACCCTGCCGATTAGGTGGTTTCTGATCATACTGCATGTCATCTACTACACTCCCCCTCGGACCGCCAGCAATATGGCGCCGCTCTCTGCTGGATTTATACTATTTTGCATCACTAGTCCTCTCGCATCCATTACCATCCTTGTAATGTGTATTTGGAAGGGATACAGAGAGCGTCGCCATTGGCCGACTATGGAAGAGGCTTATGCCGCCAAACAACTAGCTATGAAACCACGACTAGTCGATGTATGGCATTCAAAGGCTTCTCCTAATAACTTGTCACGTTGGAACGATATCAAGGTTGGTGCATGCCACTCTTCCGCTGCGCTAAATCTTACTTTTCCTTGTGTATTTGTAGCCCTTGTCACTTCAAAAGGACCAAGAACAAAGTAATATACTTGTCGTATCTACTCTTATATCTATGCCTGGCGCGAACAAAGAACATTGCCTTACTACCTGTATGATACCTTGTGAACTGATAATGTAGAGCACGTCTCAATACGCCAAAGATATGATCCTTGAGGTCCATGTCCATTCCACAATAAAGAATCATAAGAAATACAAACGAATATTCCAATGCGACCAGAGGCTTTACCGTGAAGCGAAAACAATGTGGGGGAGATTGAACGCGAACTAAGTAACGAAAGAACCCAAAAACCATCCCGCGATGGTAATAAAAATCAATATTATCTACCGCCGTTCTTTCTTTGTTCAGCCCTGAGCTGGTCTCGTAGCTTGCTATTCTCGCCTTGTACGACATTAAGCTCTTCTAGCAGAGCCGCTTTTTGACTCTGCTCTGAGCTTCGTATGGCATCAAGTTCGTCCATAGACTCCTTTAGTTGCCGTCGAGTTTCGGAAAGTTGCGCTTCCAACTTTATTCGTATAGTCTCGGGAGCCGTGCTGACTTCCTCTGCGAGAGCAAGTGCTCTTGCACTCAGGGCACTATTAGCGTCCGTTAGATTCTGAAGATTAATAGCTTGTTCTGTAGCCTTCATCTCGAGCTGTCGTTTCTCTCGTTGAGCTCGCTCCATATTAGTTTGTAGAGCGTTGATTTCATCAAGCCTAGAGTTATTATCAGTACACGTCCATAAAAAAAAGTATATGCCACTTACAGGTCTGTTTGCTTTGTCATGATGCTAGCGTTTCGATCTTCTAGCAGCTTTATTTGCTTTTGATACGTCTCCAAGCCCAACGAGCTTTCTTGCGCCAACTTTTGCGCTCGCTCGGCATTATTCTTGAGCAAGTCATGCGACTGGGCGAATCGTAGTAGTCGCTCAATGATAGCCCTGTCATCAGCAACGAGGGCCTGCACTTTTTGAGCAAACGCATCGATAGTGAAATCGGCGGGGTTATTGGAGCTGTTGAAGAGGGGGGATGAAGCATTGTTGTTGCGAGGATCATACAACGCCTTGAGAGCACGAACATCCAGATCAGCAAGGGACGGAGATGGCGGCTCTCCGAATCGGGCGCCAGTGGTGCGTAACGGGGAGCTGGGCGACCCCGAGCGGGCGATAGATCTGGCAGCCCGAGCCTCGCGCGATGGCAGCAGGCTCCAAAGGGTCCTCAAAACGCTCATGACGCGATCCATATCTTCGGAATTACGGCTGCCGTTCGAACTGCCAGGGTCACTGTTCAGCGAGTTGCTCTTCATCGGATACGGCCGTTCTGACAGTTCGAGCTCCTATTCACTACGTCAGTCCCAGCATCCCTATTTTTGGCAGCTGTATTACATACCCTAATTCGTTCTTCTAGTGATCTTATTTCCTTTCTGGCTGCTTCTCGCTCCTTTCGGGCATCCTCCACCTCTTGTGAAAGCTTGTCACGGCGGTCAAGACTGGCCTTTAAGTCCCGCTCTAAAGCTCTTCTAGCCGACTCCCACTCGGTTGAGCCACCTTTTGATAAATCCAAGTGATCACTGATGGCAGTAGTGAGGGATGAGATCGACATGTCTCGCCGTTGTGAAGGGGAGAGGGTGATGTTGTGGGCTTTTATGATTGCTTGGAGTTGATCTGCAACCATATCAAGTTCAGCATCTGCACCCTTTGAGCCATCCCCACGAGCATCTTCCATCTCTTGTTGTAATCTCGCCATGTCTTCTAGCTTTTCATCTTGCCAAGCAATCTTGTCGTCCTCTCGCGCCTTTCGTTCTCGTTCTAGGGTGGCTCGTAGCAGTGAAATTTCCGAATCTTTGCGAACTATTTCTTCACGCGAGACCGAGGAGGTTTCAATGATTTTGAAGTCCCGATCCTTTTGCGCTCGTTCGTCCTCCCATTTCCGCTTCTCATCTTCT